TGTACATACTGTGTGCTTTGTGTCAACTGCAGGTAGCATGTAATTTGTTTTGTTCTTGATTTACAATATGACAGAACTGAGTGAATTACATGATACTAGAGAAAAAATATCCTCAAGCATTCACACAGTGTGCCGCGCACACTGCTCGGATAGTTAAGTATAATGTTGGCGTCAGTTAGTTTACATTCATCGCTTCTTATTCAATGACGCCAAGGAAGTTTTCTGTAACATAACGTGTTGCCCTTAAGCCCAAATATTTGCATAATAAAAATAATTATTTTATCATGTTTTATATTTTTTCAGTACTTCAACAATATCAGACTGGGTATCTGAAATACTTCCTGCTGGACGTTTAAGGCTTTATATCAACAATAACTACTTTTGTAATTATGGTATAGTGTCTGTGATCGTTCTTATACGAGTGGTCGTTAATAGCTATCAATTATCTGCGGTCAAGGTTTATTTATATTTAGCTGTATATCTCTAATCATTGTTCACGCTAGTAATTCTCTTATCAATTGGTCTATTAAGGTCAACGCATTGAGGTTTTATTAGTTAATTGGCTTTGGTCTGCTGTGTCGGTACTTACTTAGATCATACGCTTGATGTGTATTTTATTATGTTTGAAACATGTTATATAAACATAATGATATGTCATTGTAAATTTTCCATATCTTGATTCAACCCCAATACAAATATATCCGACACTCTGCAAGTGAATAATTTTTTTTACCCTTGATTAATTTGAAATGAATTGTACTTTCCTTGACACACAATTTGTCGAAATACAGCCCTTCAATTATTTGAACCCCAGCTTCAAAATTATTTCCCCAGTCTTCTATAGTTTCTTGCTTAAGTTTTCTAACGTCTGATGTACTTTTTAAATTTTAGAAATCTTCACCTGGATCGTCCGTAAAAACGGGTAATACAATCCCGGGTTGTATTATTTCAATGAAACTGTTTTCGTCGATGTTTGCAATTAGTCTTTCAGTTACCTCCGTTTCATGCACAGGTTTATTTTGACGAAAAGGTCCGGCTTCGCTAGTACATGAATAAGTTTCAGTACGACAGTTATAACATGAGTAGCAGGACAAGTCGCGAACTAAAACTTTTCGAGTACTTGTACTTTTAATTTGGTGAATGTACCTTACTGAAAGGGCGACTTTAAATGATCTATATCTATTTCAGGGTATTTCCGCAACATAACAAAAAATTCACCTTTAACATATAGAGGACTGTCTTGGTGTCTCCAAATTGTCTTTGCAAAAGTTGCACATATCACTCGCATTCTAAATCAAACATTTGCCTCTGGCAACAATAAATCACTAAAAGCTAAAAATGGTTATAAAATATCAAAATTTAATCTGTCGAATCTATGTTCCGAGTTTGTCAGTATGCACTATTCTTTTTTCGACAGCCTTCAATATCGTTTTCCAAATTTCACCACACGATTTGTTTTATTATCAGGAACATTTAATTGAAACAAATTTAGCACATGCAACGTCGGAAATAAGCGTTTTTCGGATTTTTCGACGTTTTCATCCGTTTGGACAAAATGACTACCGTTTTGTAATGTTTCGTAGCATTTTATTCCGTCCAGACCCAAGCATGTAGTTAATAAAAAACAAATCTAGGCATTGTGTACTCTTCGTGTATCTAACTTTTGTTTTTATAAATTATAAATAACTTATTGAAGTATCAGGTAAAAATCCCGAATTAATTGCTTTGACAAATGAAATATCAACTTGGACAAAATGACTACCGCTTGAAAAACGACTGTAAAGAGAAGATTTTATAGAATCTACAATATTTGAACTCACGAACAATGAGGCAAATATTTGTACTATTGGTAGATGTTATTATTATCTTACCATTTTTAGACATTTTCTGTTATATCTACTTATAAAATACACTTTCAGTCGTTGAGTCCACGAAAAACGTCGTTGGACATTTTTCTTATTCCAGCTTAATATGCAGCCGCCGAGTCAAATGAAATTTGACAAAATAATGACTTAATTGTCACAAAGAACCGACACATGTCGTTGTTCTCGCCAAGTTTCAGGAAGATCAGAGAATAAGAAATAGCATCACTATACATAAGAGTTAAAACAGTTGTTCAAAAATGTAACGTTGGACATCCGTTTTTTCACATATAGCTTTGTTGTTTTAATCCTCAAATATACTTATTGTCTAGATATTACTAAGCATATGACCAAGAGCTATAAGAACATTATTGAAAACATATACTGAATTTATTTTTATAGTGGTTAGTGTTTGCTAACATTTTTTGTTTTGTTTTGCGGAGGAAATGTCGAAGATTCTTTTTTAAATCCTATGGGTTGTAGGAACAGCGTGCGTAACGTTACAGCGATCACTAAAATATCATACAAATAGTATCAAACTAAAAAGCATAAACGTCACGCATTAAGATATATATTATAGCTTGCTGTTCGGTGTGAGCCAAGGTTCCGTGTTGAAGGCCGTACTTTGACCTATAATGGTTTACTTTTACAAATTGTGACTTGGATGGAGAGTTGTCTCATTGGCACTCACACCACATCTTCTTATATCTATGCAATAGCATACCAAAAAGCAGCTATATATAAGTATGCAAATTGAAGGGCAAGATGCAAAAAACCACGCTGAAGTACGTCCAGAGCTTTTGTTAATAAATTTTACAATGACTATCAAAGATCCACCATCAACACCAAGTTCCCTATCAAAAAAGGATAACTATTGAAGATGTTTCTTACAATAGACGGGCACATTTTTATGTGTAAATAAAAATGAGAATGGAAATGGGGAATGTGTCAAAGAGACAACAACCCGACCATGTGCATGTTTGTGTATGCGGGCGGTTAAACTAGGTCGTTTCTGACATTGGACAGGCACATTACTATGTGTGTGTGTGTGTGTATATGAGGGTAGTTAAACTAGTATGTTTCTTACATTGGACAGGCGCATTTCCATGTGTGTTTGTGTATGAGGGCGGTTCAACTAGTATGTTTCTGGCGTTCGACAGGCACATCACCATATTTGTGTGTGTATGAGGGCGGTTAAACTAGTATGTTTCATAAATTGGACAGGCACATTCCCATGTGTGTTTGTGTATGAGTGCGGTTAAAGTAGTATGTTTCTGACATTGGACAGCCACATTACCATATATATATGTGTGTGTGAGGATTGTTAAACTAGTATGTTTCTGACATTGAACAGGCATATCACCATATGTATGTGTGTATGAGGACGGTTAAACTAGTATGTTTCTTACATTAGACAGGCATATTATCATTCCCATGTGTGTTTGTGTATGAGTGCGGTTAAACTAGTATTTTTCTGACATTGGACAGCCACATTACCATATATGTGTGTGTATAAGGGTTGTTAAACTAGTATGTTTCTAGCATTGAACAAGCATATCACCATGTGTGTGTGTATATGAGGACGGTTAAAATAGTATGTTTCTGACATCAGACAGGCATATTACCATGTGTGTTTGTGTGTTTTTGTATGAGGGCGGTTTAACTAGTATGTTTATTTCATTGGACAGGCACATTACCATGTGTGAGTGTGTGTGTATGAGGGCTGTTAAATTAGTATGTTGCATACATCGTACAGGGACATTAACATGTGTGTGTGTTTGTATGATGGTGGTTAATCAAGTATGCTTCTGACATAGGACAGGCACATTACCATATGTGTTTGTGTTATTTTGTATGACAGTGGTTTAAGTAGAATGTTTCTGACCTTGGACACTCACAGGGGCATCACCATGTGCATGATGTGTACGTGTTTATATGAGGGGTATGGCAAGTCGTTTTACTATTTATTCTAACTTCATGATATCTTATAAACTTTATAAGATATCTCATATAGTTTATAAGATATCTCATATAGTTTATAAGATATCTCATATAGTTTATAAGATATCTTATATAGTTTATAAGATATCTTATAAATTATATGAAATATCTTATAACTGCCATTCTATGATAGAGCCAGGCAGATGTTAATTCCAGAGGGTTCTCAGAATTTCATGAAATTTATTGTATGCATTGCATATATATTGAAGATATGAACTGTATTTTTTTTGTTTTTTTTTTTTTTTTGATTTGGGGGGTCTTTTAGGGGGCTTAATGTTTTCAGCCTAATTTTGGCGCAATTTTGCTTTACAAATGACAATTTTTTAATCCACTATTTGTCTGCCTATTGCACAACATCTGATTGTTTTCATAGTTTAAACAAGTTATTGTATAGTTAATTTGACATTTCCATTCTTTTAGATATCTTATTTGTTTTTCAAAAAAATATTTTGTTCAAGGGAGATAACCCATTACCTCAAAAAATTGAAAAAACCAAAAAAACATCACATTTTAAAATTGCAAAAAAATTTTACGGACGCTTAAAATTTTATGAAATTGTTTGTTAAAGAACATTTATCACCTATATTAAAATTAACTAAAAGATTTTACTCGGGTTCAAATTTATTTTCAGCTAGTAGTCTTGAATTTCAAAATAGTGATTTTTTTATGAAATATTGGACATATTTTCTTCTGAATTTGGATCTATCGTATTATCAGAGTTTTAAATTTAAATTTTGTATTAACTAATGAATAAAACATACAAAACTGTTTTAAAAAGCATTAATATTTAAATAAATCAATAATGGATTGGATCCAAAATTTTTAAAAAATGATTGAATACCCCCCTTTTTTCATTAAAAAACCAACGTCATTATTAAGTCATTCAAATAGCCTGTTGGATACACTTAGTCACTAGTGCAAGTTTGCATGTATATTATTTGCTACCCACACTTTCTCTCTTTATCTAATTTGGATGACCTTTATCAAAAATGTAATAGTATGATTTGGGAAAACAAGGGGGTGGGTGGGGAACTTATACATGTTTCAACCACGAAAGGATAGAATTTAATAAAACTTATGAACAGTCGATAAGTCTTTTTTATACATATAATCTGATTTTGCATATCTAAAACTACATTTTGAAAGTTTTTATGATTTAATGAATAATAACAAATAAAAATAAATGAAATACAAGTACAAGAAACAGAACAAAACTTTTAAATACATGTACATCAATTTCAAGCAACATTATCATGATTATCAAGCACATGTTAGAACAATTTTTTTAAAGTGATTAAATAAGTCTTCAATACTATAAAGTTAATTGCAGACAGTATCAGAGATCCAGCATGACTAGTAATGTGAAGTAAATACCCATTACATAAATCATATAAATGTTCATGTTCTTTAACTTTTTTATACATCACTGGAAATGCCCAAGTCATAAAGATGCTAAACTTCAAGTGGTACCTTTGTATATAAAAAGAGTTGCTGGAGATATCTTTGATTTAAAGCTTGTGTATATATCAATTAAATTTAAAAGAGTGCTTAATAACAGAATGGAAATTACTTTTTAGAACAAATTATACATGTTTGTACCAAACATTGTCCCCACTATGAAGGGTTAGAAATTTGCTATTCCTATACAAAAATAAAGTGTTACTAGAATGAGGTCAAGGTGAAAAAGCCATTCAGTTGTTTAGGAGGAGTTGCGGATGAGAGATGCTAGCCCTTAGCTTATTGGACTGAAAGATGGACAGAAAGATAGACAGACAAGAATGTTAACTACAAACTTTAGTGATTAAAGACATAATGAACACATTGGCCCTAAGAATTTAAAGTGGTTAGGTTTATGACCCCTTCCATAGCTTTGTCAGTAGGTGTCTGAATAAATTTTCAAAGTGCAATAATTTTATAACAGCAAAAATAATAATTAATCATGTTAATAGAGATGTGCCATTTTATACATATACCAACATGACCAAAGGGAAACATTGTTTAATGCAATATTAGTTATTAATTTTTGCAGAAAATCCAGACTTTAATACAGAGATCTTGTTAGTGGGGGATTTAATATCATGGATATATTCTTTCCTCGAAATAAAGGAAATTAAATCCGCCACAAAAATTTCAGCTTTTATAGTATCAAGCAAAGAATTGTCAGACATAACAGTACAAGAGGAAGGCTGTAGATTTTCTATTAAATTTCAATATGTTTAGCATTGGAACAACAAAAGTAAACATAATCCTTAAAGACGTAATGAACACATTGGTCCTAAGATATTTGTTCAGTTACAGAGTCAACAATGTTCAAAGTCTCAATAGCATCTAACTCTGTTAGAACTTCATTCAAGTCATCATCAACTTCTGTTTTTAAGTTCAATTCTAATCCTGGACGTTCTGGGTTCTGTTTCTGTAGTTTTAATTGTAAGCTTGCAAATACACCTCTAACCTGTTGTGCTGTGACCCAATCATCAGGAGCAAATAATCTTCCCCCTTCGTCGTTTTTTTTCATTTCGAATTTTATTTGCTACAGTAAGGGGATTTGCCTTTTTGCCAGTCCTCTCACCTTCATCAAAAATTTGTTTGATATAATCCTTAACTGAAGCCTTGAAACGCACAAATTTCCTTTCTGATTTTAAGGCCCACCCAGACTTAAAGTTTGATGGCATATCCATAAAATCTGCTCCAATAACAATATTATCCTCATCTTGTTGTTCATTATAGTTTATATTGGTACCATGGGTGCACTTCTCTGCCCAAACTTCCATGGCAACATCAGTCATTTTGTCATTTTCATGGTAAATATGTTGTCCAATGGCAAGATGTTGTTCTAGAGTGGAAGGTTTTCTAAACGACTTGACACACCCAGGAATTGTGCAACTTAAATCTCCATGCTCTACTGAATTATTCAACTTGAGTTTTGTTGGTCTTTAATTTCTTCACCATGTTCACAGGGCTCTTCTATAATCTGAAAATAAAAAAATGGGAAATATTTGACATTACTGATTAAAAGCCATATCTTTATATCATGTTTATAAATCTGATATCTTCTATTAACATACTTTAAAAAATTAATTTGTTAAAACTTTTTCATATATACAAATGGTATATCTACATGTTTTTTTTTTTTGTAATAATAAGAAAGTGACCAAACAGTCTGTCAATATATACAGGCTGTAAAGAGTCTGTATTTCTAACCTAGGTCTATGAGTAACTTCAACATTCATGACATTAGATACTTTCTTACATTGTGGACTTTAATAGAATTCATGAAAAAAATCTTTTTTTTTGGTATATCTTGTTTTGCTGCTAATTTTTTTCTGTTTACCGTTTTTCTCTATTTTTTTTCGTTTTTGTCTCACTCTGAAATGCAAAAAATAGTAAGAAATATATCAATAAAGGTAATCACTAACTTATGACTATAACATGAACCAGGAGTAAACCAACAATTACGGCAAAGTTTGTAAATATTGACTTTTTGATCCTTTTTGCTATTTAAAGTGTCTATCTATCTTTTATAGTTTTCAAGATACATGCAGTAGTAAAAAAAAGTAAAATATTGGTAAAATTTTCATTAGCCCGGTGAGCTAAAAATGTTATACAAGTACTTATCTAGTGTTAATGTTGTCAAGGTTATCTGTATGTCTTGTTTGATTTGCTGTTCTTGTTGAGTCAAAGACACAAAACCTATTTACATACACAAACCTACCTTTATCCTACTCTCATCATAACTGAGGTTTCTGGAGATCTTTTCTTGTATAGTATTTGTGATGAGATATCCACTTCCTATACCAAATGCTTGATAGACTCTGATTCCTTGATCCTCAAAAACAAAGTTTGACATCTTGCTGATCTTGAAGTGTTTAATTGTCCCTATCAAAACAGGTGGGTTCTCAACTGAAATGTCAACTAGTGTTACAAAGGTATTTCTAACACCTTTGTTACTCTCTAGTGCTCTCTTCAAATCTGCTGGATTTTCAATATTATTTCCTTCATTAGCAAATTTTAGCACATGCATCCTACAAGTTCCAGTTCTAGAATCACACAAGTCTTTTCCACTCTGTACTTCACTGAAGTTGTATTCTTTTACCCGTAAATCAAACAGAGAAATGTTCTTCCAAGCGGTAGACAATTTTTTCAAGTGTTTCAATGGCCGTCATGCCATCTGCAGTATAACTATCAAGCCCCTTTAAAGATTTTTTTTGTGATGCAGCACACACTTTGACTATTTTGTATAATGTTGCTTTGGATGGTACAGCGATTTCTTGGTCTTCACAATAGGTTTCATATGCATTGATAATCCTTGAGGCAATCATAGTTCTTATCATTTTAGGTATCTTTATCTGCAGTCCAGATGATAAGTGAAGGGTTTTAGAACCATACCCTACTGCTTGAGAAAAAGATGGACTAAAAAGAAACTGAATAAAGTGTTGTATCTGAAACTTGGACATTCTAACTTGATGAATCTTTGGTGGGTTTATGATTTGCCCAGGACCATGAGTCGCAGCATATTTTCTTGCAGTATCAATCTTATACTTTGTCAATCCTGGAATTAGCTTACAGAGATCAGTCTTTTTAAAATTGTTCACAATCAAAGATAGAATTTGTATCTGACTCTGATGACCATCTGCTTTTGTATAGGCTTTTACTACAGCCTGGGTCAATGCATCTGCTTCTACTTTGTTTTCTGTTTTACTTGAATAATATTTTTTGAAAACTAATTTCATTAATTCGTCTGTCTGGTTTGGTGCAATACATTCAAATAAATACTGAACACACTCATTAGCTTTCTGTGTGATGTAATCACTCGTTGATTGATGAGTGTTGCTTAATGGTCGAGTCAAGGAGTACCGCAGTGGTTTAAAATTCCCATTAGACAGTATATCCATGCTTCTGTTCAGTTTATCACGAGTATATGTTGGAGGTTTCCATGAGTCTGTGCTAGTTAATTGTGATGACTGTGTACTTGACTGTGATGACTGTGTACTTGATATCTCTGCAAAATTATAAAAGATGTTTAATAAGAAAGTTGAACAAGACCTTGACTTAGGTATCATTTTTTCAATCTCTATACACTACAAACTGCTGAGAGTCTAAAAAAAGACCATATGTTGTGCTCAATATTATCTCAGCAGTTCTTAACTGTACTCGATTATGGTCTTGACTTTACTTAATAAATATTTCTGTGTACGTTGAGTCGGTTTTGGAAAGACCTTTTCAAATGAATTATGTGTTCAGCAATGATGCTGCTTTGAGTCTTGATAAGGGTACCGGTTAATAAAGCTACGCAAAGTTTTTTTTTTATAACAAATGAATATATCAAGTTTAGACAAATATTTCTGTAAAGAACTTTATAATTGTTATAAATATCAATTTTATTCAAAAATCGTTTCTTCCTTAAATATACATGGTAAAATTAATGTTCTAAATGCCTAGTTTTGTGTACACTTAACCTACACAAGGCCTACATTGACTATCAACTGCGTGTAGACAAAACATGATTTAAACTACATGTAAACATTGAGTTTTATCAATGGGAACGTAATTGTGTTTAGTTTACGTGTGAGTTACACTAACACAACACCGAGTTTAGGTCAATGTGAACACGGCCTAAGTCCTTAAATTTGACAGCAATACACCAAAATACAAAACAACCTGGCATTCTGAAAGATAAATTTATAATAAGGATAGCTTTAAGTTTGATGAAAATCACACTATAATTTGTTTCTATTTTTAGCAACAGCATCAATGTTTGTTGGTTGGCCTACATAATTGACAAAAATTTGATAATACATTATGATCCAGGCTAAGATTAAACACAATCCAATCAGCAGTTTCAGGGAAGATTTTTTTAAAGATTGACATTTACAATAGGTCTCTACATGGAAATGAAGATTTATACTGTATTATTTATCAAACTTACCAGAACTATAAATCTGCAGACTTGAATTAATGTCAGCAGCATCAGGATTCATTTCATCAACTGAAAGAGAGAATTCATATTATAATCATTACTATGATTTTAAAAATAATCTATAAATAATGAGCATCCCATTAATCAGTTAGTTTCAGCATTAAATGTAGGTCACAGTGATGCAATTGTTGATGTATTGTGTAGTTCTCTACAATAATGTAGTTTTAATATATCCATGATCAAAAGGATGATACATTACTATAGGAGTGTTTTGATAAATGAATATGAACTGAATACTTAACAAAAGTCAGTGAAGTGTGAAATGTAGGTCATTGTGACTCAAGTTATGCTGAACAGTGTTGTACTATACAAGATGACTGTAGTGAGTACATATCATTGATATATTACCATATATATATATTAAATACTAACATGACTGACTGATGGAAAAGGGTAAATCTAAAGTTCATTTGTATTGTTGTCATGTCAGTCAATGTTTCACGATAAAAGTTCATAAAACTTGAAATTAAATTGAACATCCAACATGACCAACTTAATAAGATCATATTCATCATTTAAGAATTGAACGCTTCTTTTTGTAAATTCATTGGGGTGTAAAAGCGTTGACCGAAGTACATTTTGTATGAAGCGCTTTATTATTTAAATGTGTACATGGTCAAAGCTTTTACAACCCTATGAAAATACCAAAAGAAGCATTCAATACTTGTAATTACATTTTTTTGCTATGATCATGAAAACACAATTACCATGATTACTATCAAGTTTTTTCTTTTATTTACCTGGGCACTTTATTGTAGAAGCACCTGTCAACATGAATGTTACAATTCATTTTGAAATGAAGTTGATTAAGGAATAACGTGAGATTGCAGTTAACCAATCAGAATAACATATTATAATGACACATACATCTAATGTAACTACATAATGTATAAGCAAATGTATGTATAAACCAATTTTTGTGTTTACCGTAATCTTCTGATGGATATGTGGCTGGTGAAAAACATGGACTGCAAGGTACCATCTGTTCACTTGCTTCTATTAATATTCTGTTCATGAAAATTCATTGCAACTTTATGGAACTCCACTTAAATAAAAATAGAAATAGAAGTTAAAATTGTATACTGTACTTGAAGTTAATGTCGAGAATTTCGCAATCGGTAGATATTTGCTAAAATTACTCCATTCTAAAATGCAAATAATTCAATATGCATACATGCATATATATGGATAATCTGATTAATAAAAAAAGAACTTAAATAAACTCTTCAAACCACAGACTTATGTTGTGCTTGGTTCATATCTGTCATATTTTTTTTTGTAAATGTTTTGTTATAAATAAGGCCATTAGTTTTCTCAGTTGAATTGTTTCCTATTTTTCAAGTCTTGGACTTTTAGAGCTAACCATACGGTACTGTATTAGATTGTATCATTGTTGAAGGCTGTATGGTTGCATCCACTTCATGTGAATTTTGGTAGTCTTATTGGCAATCATACCACATCTCCTTTTTTATACCTAAAGAAGTACATACAGTGTGTATTTAATAGTGTAAATATTTGCACCTATATTAACATTATAATTAGTACAGTTATATTACTGTTGCATAATAGCATACATGTTAAGCCTACCAGGTCTTAGTTTTTTGCAAACCTCACACCTCCTGAATTTGCCAGGATTTATACATGTACTTCACTTTTTTTGGATTAATGGCAATGTTTTTATCATGGAATATTGATATGGGGGAGTGAAACCAGCTTAGATATTTCGATGTTTTGTTCTGTTCTGGTATATACCTCCGTTAACTGTAGTTCTAGTATCTAGTTTTTATTAGACCCATTTTTGAATATGCCACGGAAGTGTGGGATAATTGTGGGATATGTTATTCAAATAAATTAGAAAATTTGCAATTGGAAGCCGCAAGAATTGTAACAGGTCTACCAATCTTCACTAAAACTGATACTCTGTACTCTGAGGTTGGCTGGGAATCTTTATATGAAAGACGAAGAAGAAGAAAATTACAGATGTTTTATAATATAAATAAAAAACATGCACCTCAGTACCTGTGTAATCTTGTCCCCCTATGTATACAAAGTACAACCAACTATCCGTTGCGAAACGGTCAAAATATCATTGTTCCATTTTGTAGACTTTCCCTTACCACTGAATCTTTTATTCCATCCACAATACGAGAATGGAATAAGCTTGACTTAAAAATTCGAAACACCGACTCTATATCTAAATTTAAGAGAGAATTGAAAAATGAAAGTGTTCAGAGTAGAGTTGCGCCGTATTATATGTACGGTCCGAGGAAACTGAATATTATTTTAACTCAATTGCGATGTTCCGCTTCATTTTTGAACTCTGACCTTTTCAAAGCTAACATTATACTGGATCCTTCGTGTCAGTGTGGGTCTGATATTGAGGATGTTTATCATTTTCTTTTAGTTTGCCCAAAATACACTACATGTAGAGAAATTTTACTTAACAATCTTAATTGGCTTACTGAAAACTTTATTATTGATACTAAACTATTAACTTGCGGAGATCTTGAACTTTCGAATGAACAAAATCTCCTAATTTTCAAACATGTTCAAGATTTTATTAAAAGGTCTAACAGATTTCGAGTACCTTCATAAAATATTATTGCTACCGGCACGGATGATCATCACCATCAAACCTAAGTCAACATCACAGAAAATATAATTTGCTTCTTTTTTTTCCCCTCCTTTTCCATTCTTCTTGTTCTTTTTTTCTTTTTATTTATAGTTCGTATAATATTTAATGAATTTGTTAGCTTTACATGCATGCTCATAATGTTATTATTGTATATATACTTGTATTGTAATATGGAGAAGACTTCATAAGTATGATTTACTTGTGTCTCATCCATTTTGCTGATATTTAGCAAATAAAATATGTTTAAACTAAACTGTAGTTCTCTGATTTACATTTGATTAAAAGGAAATTATCAAGCCCGGAAATATTGAGCAACCTTTACGGTATTCTGTAAATTTATACAAGCAAATTAATATCCATTTACAAGAAATTATCATGATGATTATGTATATAGGTACATTGTACATGTAGTATGGCCTAAAGAATCAAAGTCACATGATATTCTTATAAATCTTCCCTTATTTGCTATCTAAAAGATGAAAACAGGTAGTAAATGTATATATTATAAACCTTCCAATATCATTTTGTACATCTACAACTGTAAGGTATGTTTTCTTGTGTCTTTCTACACAACTTCTGCATAAACCTGTCATAAATGTAAATATAGAAGGTGGATAAAAAAATGTTATGGTAAAAACTATATGAGATATCTTATAAACTATTATATAAGATATCTTATAAGATATATGAAATATCTTATAAAGTATATAAGATATCTTATATAAAAATTATCTATAAGATATCTTATAAACTTTATATGATATCTTATATACTTTATAATATATCTTATAAACTTTAAATGGTATCTTACAAACTTTAGAAAATATCTTATTAAGTATATAATATTTTATTTTATGAGATATCTTATATATTATGGTTAAACGAGTATGCTTCTGACATTGGACAGGCACATTTGCATTTGGTTTTATGTGTGAATGATGGTGGTCATACTAGAATGTTTCTGATATTGTACCAGCACATTACCATGTAAGTTCGTGTGTGTATGTGTGTGTATGAGGGTAGTTAATCTAGTATCGTTTTCTTCAAAGTTCCCGATCTTCCCCTTTTTATCCAGATAAGTGGATTAATAGAAAATACATAAAAGAACAACAAATCAAAGTACTGTAGTACTGAACATCGGATGACCGCAAGTTCTTGTGTATGGTCACAAGCACTTGTCTCAGAAAAAAAATCACATCTCTATACCTGAAAGTGAGGTTAAGGTACATAGATATATTTTTTTCTGAGACAATTTCGTGCGTGGATGATGAATAAATGACAGGGAATTCAACCTCACCGTAATAACTATTATATTGTAGTGCTTCAAATCAGTATACTGTGGTTTGTTGTTATATATTATATTAATATTTGTATATAACAGTTACATGTATATATAATTTTCATCCATTTGTATATCATTCTATTCTACTATTCTAATAATAGTGCAGTGCAAGTGCATGGTGGACACTCTTCTGTAATAATTCGATTTTTCTAATAGATTGGATTTGAGTAGGCATTCATATTTTACCGCAGCACGTTCTTGAGATATTCTTCCGCATGCGTTAACACAATTTTTCGGTATTCTTGATTTGTTATTGATATCTGGGACTATTATACTAATATAGTATAATAGTCCCAGTTGATATATATATATTTCTCACGACAAAACATTTTCATATCATTTATCTATGTTCTTAAAAATTATTTTCATGAATATTTATTGATGAAATTGATATATAACAAGCGATAAGGTTATCAGTCAAAAACGAAAGTCATGTGGGTAGAAATGTCTGTGGCAACAATACACCGGAATGCCCTCACGGTCATCCGATGTAAAAAGTGGTCAACTCTATAATCAAGTGATTGAGTGTTGTTCGCTTAACGTCCAGTGGCAAATATTTCACGTCTATAATCAAAATTAATGTACAAACTGTGGCAAAACAATACTTAAAAGAATGCTAGCAATTACTGAAAGGAAACTAAAAAACCTTGCTACTACTTCATTTTAACTCTGGTGGATAGTGGATAGTCTTGTTGGCAATTATACCACATCTCCCCATTTTTGTATTATATGAAATTATGCCGTTACTGCATGCTTATTGTCATGTTTTGTATTTTGTTTCATATACACAAAAACAAATGGTACAAGCATTTTCTAATGTCAGTAATCGATTTTTTTTGGCATATACAATGCATTGACTGTAATAGCTTAAAAATGCAAATATAATGCCTTTATTTAAAAAAGTTGATCATTCATTACCTCTAAAGTACAGACCAATATATCACGTATTAGTTGCAGATGTAAAATCCTAGAACTTGTTAAATATTACCACTTTTTAACCACTTACAAAAGAACTAAACTCATTTTATGATTATCAATCTGGTTTTGGTATTTTTGGTATTTTATTTTTTTTTCTATCTAAATGTTCAGTGGTATTCAACTATGAGAATTATATAATTGCATTTTGAACTCGCTGGAAAAGAAAGACATTTCTTTGTTTTTCTGCGATTTTTCCAAACCCTTTGAAAAAATTTGGCATGATGGATTATTACATAAAATGAAGGTTTATAGTATCACTGGTAATGCATTTGGATGGTATAAAGCTACTTGATGGACTAAACGTGGTTACTAAACATTCTTCTTCGAAACTTTGCGATGTTTTACTGTGCTGGATTTCCAAGGTCTGTCATCGGACTCTTGCTTTTTTAAATATTCATTCAGTATGTCGTTGCAGAAAAAAAACAAATTATCTGCGCATTCTGTTTGCAGATGACAGCTCGTTCAGCTATGCAAGTCATAATGCATTCATATACAATCTGTGATAAAACACAACTTGGCTGATCTGAACGAATGATCCAAAAAGTGGTTAATATAAAATAAGGAGATTCTGATGGGGTATGATTGCCAATGAGACAACTATCTAACATAGGAATCCGGGTCCGTTCGCCCTGATTCACGTCCCCCCTAGTACCTGTTCGCCCTGTGTCCGTTCGCTCTGATATTTATTTTTATTTTGTTGTCTTGTTGTATGATGTTTATTATTTGAAAACAGTATGTTAAAGTTTGTTGAAAATATAGTCGAATATTTATGTTGTGGATGGGGGATTACAGAGAGGAGAATAATGGGCAAAAAATATAATAAATCTAGAAATATGGACCCAAAAAATAAAGAATAGAAAATAATAAGGTGCTATAATATAAAGAATGGAGAATAATGAGGTGCTCAAATATGAGGAATAGAAAATAATGGACAAAAAGTATAAAGAATAGAAAAATGACCTATCAAATTAAAGAATACAGAAATGAAGGACCCCCATCCAGACCCTCTTGTATTGCTGCTACCAAATAATCATTTACCTTTAATCCACACCTTAGATTAGCTGGAATGCAAGGTATTTAATATAAAACAACTGAAGACCATGTTATCTGCATGTACTTTTCTTTATTGATACATTTTAACAATTTCAAAATAATCATAAACAGTTATAAAAAGATCCAATTCGAACTTCGCATCACACACCAGTTATGTCCTTACATTGACCATTTTTATATATATAAAAATGTTACTTTCATGATTAATCCACCAATTAATGCTCCAAAACAATCCATTCATTTTTAAATATTTCCATGTTTTTTTTCATGAATTTCGAGAATTTATATAAGAATGAGAGCATTTGATTCAATGTGGCATGACGCTCTCCTACTAAAATTAAAAGAATATAGTGTTTGTGGAAAATGTTGGCTTTTGATTGACAAAATGTATCGTGGCATGAAAAGCTCGATCTTATTCAATAATAAACTGTCGAGATGGTTTCAACTACAACGGAGGAGTGCGTCAAGGAGATGTGTTATCAGCCGTTCTTTACTTAGCTTTTATCAACGACTTGCTTATTGAATTGAACAAAACGAGATACGGTACCATTATCTATGACATAAGCGTCGCATGTTCTGTACAAGCGGGTGATATAGCCCTGATGTCTCCTACAACCCAAGGAATGCAAACCCTTATAAACATTTGCCAGTCGTTTAGTGAGCGTTGGGCCTTTAAGTTTTCGCCCAGAAAGAGTCATGTATTACTGTATGGAAAGTGCCAAAGTAACGCTATTGATAGATTCTTTCTATATGGTTCAGAAATACTAATCGTCAAATCATCTAAACTTGTCGGTATTCTCTTAGAGAGTAGCTTTAATTCTATGGAAAAAACGATGAATGCGTGTCAGATGTTATGTACTACTATTTCCATTATGAACTCTGGTGTTCATCCGGCTATCTTCAGTTCAGAAGAAATTAGAGGAGGAATTCATAAAATCCTGGAAACAAGCTCTTTTTTGTGACTCTAATGAAGATAGTCATGGTAATAAACTAAGATCGTATCGCAAAGTTAAAAATAATTACGAATTAGATAAATATCTCCTACTGGACCTTAACAAAAATGTTATTTCTAAAATGGTAAAAATTAGAATTAGTAATAGCAAATTACTAATAGAAGTTGGTAGATATACTAGAACACCTTTAGAACAGAGAATTTGTCCACTTTGCAAGGATGGAATTGAAGATGAATTCCATTTCCTCATTAAATGTAAAGCGTTAGAATTTAATAGAAATATACTCTTTTGTAATTTAAGTTATATAGTTCCATCTTTTGTTCATATGTCTGAACAAGATAAATTTAGTTTCATTTTGAAAAGTAATGATACTGACATTTGTACTGTATGTGTAGCTGGAATAAGCGATATGTATGATTCGAACATTCATTTAAAGCAAACATAATGTTGTTAAGAACTGTTGTAGTATTAAAGCTTATTGTAATAACTTGAAGTGATAATATAGTATGAATAACACCTCCACGCAATGTAGATATAAAATATGTGTCTCTTATCATTGAGAAAACATATCTCTGTATATTTGTTTTTTTTTTTGTTTATTTTTGTCTGTTTTTGTATTTGTATTTTGTAAATGTCAGCTGGTATCATTCCTGTATTGGAATCTACACCAATAAAATTATTTGATTTGATTTGATTTGATTTGAATACATCTACATGTTTGAAAATTGTAAACCAATTAGCTTATACGAAGGCATTATATGGTTGCGAACTGTGGAACAATCTTACCAAATCTGAATTATTATTGCTTGAACGAGCTCACAGATTCGTATGTAAAGCAGTACAAGGCTTACCTAAAAGGTCCATATCAGACAAGTGTACCAGCCTTCTTTGATGGCCCTGCATTGAGTGTTATATTGACAAATGCAAACTTTTATTTTTCGGCAGATTATGTAGACTGAATTCAGCTCACCTACCAAAGCAGATAATGATGGTCAGACTGCTAGAGTTTAAATACAAATGTGTGGACAATCAGCTTGGTTTCATCCCTGATATTTATAGACTATTTATTAAGTACAATCTCTTGCAATATATTGTTAATCTTATTGAACTAGGATCTTTTCATTCAAAAATTGTCTGAAACAGTGTAGTGTCGCAAAACATTCACAAGACTGAACAATTGAAGTGGTAAGAAAGGATTTCAAATGACAGCGACTTTAACTTTTTCAAACTTATCCATCCAGTCATTAAGTTACATAAAGCATGGATAATTGCGAAGAGATATCCAGATTTAAGGGTTGCTTCAAAGTACATTATTGACCTGTGTGCTATTGTTCGTATTGAAGTTGAACAACTCCTATGTGAAAAATGCGGGAAACTGTTTTACAAACGTTTTAGAACATATACTATGCTCATGTGATTTTGTTCTTGAATATAGAAATGAAATGTGGAGCGACATTATAAACATAAACCAAATCCAGTTTAGTGTCTATATGGACAGCCTATCATTTCTAGAATTCACAGCCACACTTCTATACTATGACACTAAATACCAGCTAGATGACGACGAGAGTATTATATTCTCAAAACTTTGTGTCCAGCATGTATACAACACAAAAAGTCATGTAAACTCTTTAATCGATAAAAGAGGGACGAAAGATACCAGAGGGACAGTCAAACTCATAGATCGAAAACAAACTGACAACGCCATAAATTGCTGGTCATTAGCGACAATCACAATTGCTTAATTTGATGTTCCTTTGATACTTTGAACTGTCTAAATGTGTGTTTTTAATGTGTTTTGTTCCTAATGTGTCTATATGTTACGACATAATCTCTGTAAAAGAGGAAATAAAGTCAATAATAATCTAATCAGCATTCTAATTTACAATCCAAACAACAGTTATTAAAATTTAATTCTAAATAAAACAAATTTAAGAATGAAACCAATTAATGCTCCAAAACAAGCCATTTATTTTTAAATATTTCCATGTTTTTTCATGAATTTCGATTCGAGAATTTATATATTTTTTAATATTGATCATATAAATATCTGAAAAAGTTTATTAAACCTTAATACCACTATATCATTTTTTTTTAAATTAGGGCAACGAACCCAGGACAAACAAACTCTATAGGCGAACGGACTCAGGACGAACAGACCCAGGGCGAACGGGTCCGATACTCCAACATAGTCCAAATGTCGTGGAATGAAGCAACTACAGGTCACCGTACGGCCTTCAACAATGAGTTAAACAATTACTGTATAGTCAGCTTTACAAGGCCCCGACCTGACAAAATGTGAAATTTAAACGAAAAAAACGAAGTGTAGATTTATGACAAAAAATAAACGAAAAATGGTTATAAAAATAATCTTTATTGTCACCAGAGACATATAATCTCTGTTGTCATATATACAAGTCAATATGTTTTTGACAAAATCATAAATTAATACATATACATAAAACATATTAATGCAGTATCAAGCAAACATGAATCGTATCAATGCAATAAAAAAATATATAGAAAATTAAGCTTTATGACATCCAATCTGGTATCTCAAGCATGACCTCATTATTCATGTGCCGATTTCTGAGGTTGTTTGACAAAAATGGTCATATCTATACACAATCAACTAAAATAATATTTTCAGGTAGACAAATTTGACCGCTATTTTCTGTCTTTGGCTCCTTTTCGTGTTTTCTCGCTGGTTAACTTTAAGTGGTGATCGTATTTTTATGTTAACGTTGTGGTGTTTTACCTTTTTGTGTATTTTTATGTTAACGTTGTGGTGTTTTACCTTTTTGTGTATTTTTATGTTAACGTTGTGGTGTTTTACCTTTTTGTGTATTTTTAAGTTAACCGTGCGTTGTGGTGTTTTACCTTTTTGTGTATTTTTAAGTTAACCTTGTGGTGTTTTACCTTTTTGTGTATTTTTAAGTTAACGTTGTGGTGTTTTACCTTTTTATATGTAGTGGTTGTATCTGTTGACTAATTCTTTATTTTTGTATTTTGTTACGTCTTCACATGTTTAACTTAATTTGATTTTATTTTGTTATTACATGATTTTAAGTACTACAAAAATTTAACACTTTAAAAAAATATTATTTCTAATGGTGTTATCTCCTTAAAACAGAGATAATTTATTCTATTTCAATATAAAAAAAAAATACTGTCTATTATAAACAGTTTTGATCATAAAATTGTGCATGCGTCTCCGTCTCCATCTTTTCCTCCTGTCATTGCTTCCCCCAAGCCTGTAAACATTGACTCCATCGTACTTGTTAGTGCTTCAGTCATCCCCTCGAGCATATGGGTGTGGTCACCTTCCTGGTAAAATTCGGCCTACAGAATAAATTGGGAATACTTTAAATGAAAAAAAAATTCAACAAAAATCCCTTTTGTCAAATTGTGGCCAGTCACTATAATCAGTGTTAATTTACTGTTCAAATTATGAAGATAATAAGTGTCTTTTTAAAAGACATTTTGAACAGTTGCAAAAGTTCACATGGAAACTCAACATATACCCCCACGGCACTTACCAAGGAGGAAATCCTTGAATAATCATAGGTCAGTTCTGTGGTCCTTTGGAATTTCAACAAACGATAAAGAACTGGATCTTCCTTCATTATTTTAGATATTTAATCACTTAAGTGTCCTTAAAAAGAACTTAAATGGCTGTATCGTCCACGAAACTACTTTCTTAATTATTAACATCAATTTTATTAGCAATCAAAGTCGGGCTTCAAAGTCATTGTGAAACTACCTACGCTGTTAAAAACCACTCTGATTCAAACAAAAATTCTCTAAAACGAACATTGTGAAGATGTTTGATTTCTTCATATACAACACATTTTTTGTACGTTTGGAAGACGTGTACTTTAACAAACAATGGCAACCAACTGTACCCCCTCCTTGCTGACTTGTTCCTTTATTCACACGAGACAGACTCCATACATGAGCTTCTTTGGAAGAATGTAAAGAAGGTAGCATTATCCTTTAACTTTTCTTATCGCTAGATAGATGATGTCATCCCACTAAATAATTCAAAAATGGTGACTATGTTGAACGCATCTATCCCATCAAACTTTAAAACAACATATACATTTAAGGCAGCCTCATATCTTGACTAACATCTATGAATTGACAATGAGGGTCGGTTGAGATCAAAACTTTACAACAAAAAAGATGAATTCAGCTGCCCAATCATGAACTTTCAATTTTTATGTAGCAACATTTCAGCAACGGGGTTACGCCTGCATATTGAGTATAGCTCTCCCAGTTAATACGATATCCCAGAGCTCGCATTTCCTATCATGTTGCTTTGACAGAAGGTTGCTACTTACAAGCAAGCTATGGAAATTTACAGTTCCAAGTAGTGAAGTTGAAAAATTTTTAAGCACGCCATCACAAGTTTCACCTTTATGGAATATCTGTTTCAAAGATGACGGCGACTATGTCTCAATTGTCGTAACCACAATCCCGTCCTCATTTTCTCAAATGTGACCTTACGATTTAGACTAATTACCAAGTTTGTACTTATACGAGCAACACGATGGGTGCCATGTCAAGCAGGATCTGCTCACCCTTCCGGACCACCCAAGATCACCCCTGTTATTTTGGTGGGGTTCCTGTTGATCAGTTTTGTTGTGTTTTTATACTGTTGTTTGTCTTTGGTCGTTTTTTCGTTTTTTGTCATGACATTGTCAGTTTTTCGACTAATGAGTTTGAAGATCACTTTAGTATCGCTCACCGTTTACACAATACAGAAATTAAAAAAAAATATAACGTGCTTTAATTTATGTACTTTTCTTCATTCTTGACAAGGCAGATTAAAATTTGTCTGACATGATCTTGCATCGATGAAATATATAGCGCTTTTGCAAATCTAGTTTCCAGCATTAAAATAACTTACGGATTTAGCTTGGACTTCTTGTGGCAATTCACCTAACTTCTCGCTCTCTGTTACTAGTTCCATTATTTTCATGTTTCTAGTTTTTGTTATTTCAGGATCTTCATCTTCTTTTTCTTCTTCGTACATTGCTACTATTTGTGTAATTATTTCTAACTGTTTTTCTCTTGTCTTAATATCCTTATTTTCAATTGCTCCCCTGTTTTCTTGAATCCATTCGTCGAGCTAAAAAATAAATAAAAAGCGGACATTAAGTCTTGCATGGTCCTAAGGTGCTGATTTTGCTTTACTTTTCTGTTTGCTTTATTTCGGTTCTGTAGTGTTTTTTTAACATAGTGGGTTCGTTCCTGACTGGCCTCTAGTTAGTCAAAATAATTATGACGTCTTGGAAGGCTATTTTATTTTTTGCTTTGACGCCTTCCTGCGACGTCATAACGCTGAAGCCATTTTTTTTGGTTGGATTTTGAGAGGGAATTTTGCTCTCAACTTTGAGACCCAATTTAGCCATGAATTGTTACATACATTGTTTCAAATGGTGTCTTTGAAATTAGCTACTATTTTTGCAACTTAAACAGGCATTTACGGCGAAACTCAACTTGTTCGTCTTTCACGACTTTTGCACAGTCATAGTATTACGATGAAACTGCGATTATAACTTACGGGTCAAATTTTATTGCACCAGATGCAAAACAATTTTGACAATTAATGCCTCTTCAGTGATGCTCTAACAAAAAATATTCGAAAATCCAAAATTTACCGAATTAAACTTATCACCAGGTTTGTACTTACTTGAGCAACACGATGGATCACCCCCGGTTTTTGATAGGGTTCGTGTTGCTCCTTCTTTAGTTTTCTATGTTGTGTTTTGTAGACTGTTGTTTGTGTTTTGGTGTTTTTATTTTTTTCGCAATGGCGTTGTCAAATTATTTTCGACTCATGAGTTTCAATGTCCCTTTTGTATCTTTCGCCTCTCTTTGAATAAACACATTGAATATCTGATAAAACCAAAAACAGACCAAAAGTTTAGACACACATTTCTTACTCAAATGCTTCACTGCTAATTTTGCCATGACTAATTTCCATTGTATATATAACTGATTTCTATTCAACTTTTAAGTGTATTTGCTTTTTTTTGAAATGCTTAGTTAAGGCATATTATTTATACTACTAATCAAGACAAGTTAATTGTTTCTGCGTCAATATGCCTTTTAAAACGAAGTTCCATTATCACCAGCCCAGGAGTCAGCACTTCTGTGTTGACATGAATTATCATTGATATGGTCATACTTATAAATTAACTGTTTACAAAACTTTGAATTTTTGAAATACTAAGGCTTTTCTACCTCATGAATTGATTACCTTAGCTGTATTTGGCAAAACGTTTAGGAATTTTTGGTCTTCAATGCTCTTCTACTTCGTACTTTTTAACTTTTTTTTATTCGAGCGTCACTGATGAGTCTTTTGTAGACGAAACGCGCGTCTGGCACAAATACAAATTTCAATCCTGGTATCTATGATGAGTTTATTTAGTATACCGCGAAGAGAATAGGTCTTGCAAGCCACAATCAAACATCATTTTCTTAATGTTATGTACCACCGTTGATATTTCGAAAGAAAATCAAAGATATCGATCCCAGTAAAAGTACAGATAATTGTCTATATGCTCCACTCCTGATGCACCAATATTGAAGGCAAAGTCTCTTTAAGAAGAATTTGTCGTCTTCGAATGCATTTAGTTTTCAAATCAATGTTAATGACCCTTACTAAAATAAATACTATATCACTAAATCGTCAGGATGAATTCCCGAATCCTGAGAATAAATCTGTTGCTAATACATTTGTTAACATCGCAAACGATGGAGAAGGGTCTGGATGGGGGGTCCTCCATTTCTGTATTCTTTCATGTTTTAGGCCATTTTTCTCTATTCTTTCATGTTTTAGGCCATTTTTCTCTATTCTTTCTACTTTATGCCCATTATTCTCTATTCTTTATATTTAAGCACCTCATTATTCTCTATTCTTTATTTTTTTGGGTCCATTTTTCTCTATTCTTTACATTTTTTGCCCATTATTCTTTATGATGTTAACCCCCATCCACACCCGCACGTAGGGCTACAATTGTTGCCAAAACGAACTCAACAGTTACTGTAAACCCCCAAACACAACTTCTTAGATTCTAATATATGTTTTAATAGTACTCAAAGTTTCCATTTAGCCAGCTACTATTATATTTTTCCACAATAAAATTTGAATTTCCGAGTCATAGCCTTATGCGGACACAAATGTTAATTCACAATTGTGACATTTATTCAATAAAAATACTTAGTGGATTAAAACAGCGGAATCAAAGTATGTCGTTGGCATTTTGGAAGTTAGATTCCTAACAATATAACTTTATGCTTGACTGTTATAACTGAGTTGTTCATATTGAAATGAAAGACAAACTAGGTGCTATGAAAACCAGGCTTAACCTACCAAATTCCGATGAACTGTGTCTTTATAACAGGTAATTAATAAAACAATCATTTGGCAATTATTTTAGAAATTGATATACTTAGTATTTTCCTGTTTCGTCTGGAATTTTTTATTTTCGATTATAGAAAATAGGTTTGACTTTAGATTATTTGACAGTTTTTTTCTTTCGGACATTTTTGCGCAGAAGAAAAGCTATAATATCTTACCGCATCGCGCGAAGCTTTGTAAGGTTCATACATCAAGTTCTTGTTTATCATGCCCGTCATTCCCGTCATCAAAGGAACCAAACCTTGAGGTCTATTTTCACCATCTGAAACATTAAATCATTTATGTGATATCCGATGGTAGTTTTCTATAAACTAGTATCTTAATGACATTTGAATAAAAGAGATATTTGGCATACTTCAATGAGAAAAAACACATCATAATTTCAACAGAAAAGACACCTTAAGCTCGACAATTAGTGTTCACGCGTGGACAAGGCAGAGGCTATGACAATAAACTGTTATCACAGAGATATGTCTCGCCTTTTTGTAATTTTGATAATGCAAATGTTGAAATTAAAATAGCAATACTTTAACATGTAAGTTATGCAAATATTCAAAGTCAATGAACCATGACTGAAGGTACATGGCTAAACAATCTCCATGGAATGAGATGTGCCAATGCTAATACAATTGCATACCAAATACCATTGACTTATTATAAGTCGTTCCCTTAAAACACACCTAAACACAAACATTAACTTGTAAACTATGTAAAAGTTTCAAAGTCAATGAACCATGATCAGGGGTGGGGCTATATAATCTCCAAGGAAACGATACTTGCAAATGCCAATAAATTTGCATACCAAATATCATTGACTTAACATTAGCAGTTCATCTTAAACTGATCTAATCACAAACTAATACATGTAAACTAAGCAAAAGTTTCAAAGTAAATAGACCATGACTGAGGTGGCGGGGCCAAATATTCTCCATGGAAATGAGATGTGATAATTAATGCTTATACAACTGAACACCAATTAACATTGGCCTACCACTAATGGTTCCCCTTGAACTGACCTAATCACAAACTAATACATGTTAACTTAGCAAAATTTTCAGTCTATAGACCATGACTAAGGGGGCGGAGCCAAATAATCTTCATGGAAATGAGATATGCCAATGCTTATACAACTGCATACCAAATATCATTGACCTACCACTAGTGGTTCCTCATAAATTGACCTAATCACAAAGTAATACATGTAAACTATGAAAAGTTTCAAAGTCAATAGACCTTGACTGAGAGGGCGGGGCCAAATGATCTCCATGGTAATGAGATGTGCCAATGCCAATACAACTGCATACCAAATATCATTGATCTACCACTAGTGGTTCACCATGAACTAGACCTAATCACAAACTAATACATTAATTGTTGACGCCGATGCCGGAAACAGCATACCTATGTCTCGCTTTTTGACTCCGTCAAGGCGAGACAAAAATCTACTATTAGAACCGTATTCTTCAAAATAACACTACACAGTGACCTTGACCCTATTGACTCACAACTTATAGGCTTCTTCGCCATCCATTGTTCTTCAATTTGTTAACTTTACATTCCAATCATGCAAGGGTAACTCAAGTTGTCATCAATACAGCATGTAAAAAATATACCGGTATGTTTAGTAAAGTGATCTATTGACCCCATAAACATTAGGCTTCTTTCCCTATCATATATCATATATCTATATAAGTTTCAGTTAACTCAAGAATTGCAAACTCAAGCTATTATCTGGAAACCGTTTTTTTTTTCATTAATAATTCTACTTTTAGTAACACTTCACAGTGACCTTGAGCCTATTGACCCACAACCAATAGGCTTTCTTTCACTTCCCATTTTCTTCCATTGTTAAAGTTTCATTCTTATCACGCAAGGGCAACTCAAGTTACTAATCCATACACCATTTTAAAATACGAACAGAAACAGTTGAAGAGCTATATGACCAAAAGTACCTAAAAAATAGCCAAATTCATCTAAGGTCAACTTTGCCTGAGGGAGTTGAAACCTCAGTTTCTCTAAAATTTAAAATTTATAAACGGACAATTTTAGAAAATTTGTTATAAATCATGCCAGTACCGAAGTACTGACTACTGGGCTGAGGATACCCTCGGGGACTAATAGTCCACCAGCAGAGGTATCGACCCAGTGCTGTAAAAAATGAAAACAACACGTTATTAATTTAATGCGTCCGAAGCGCTTTTCTGGATTTAAGATATGAATGACATGTATTTTGGTGCCAATCTTAATGTTCTTTTCACGAAATTTTTTTTTATCAAGAAATGGAATTATTATTGGTCCGACAAAAAAACTCCTGTAAAAACCCACCCATATTCATATGACATAATAAAAGCGCAGGCGTAAGCAGCCAGGCATGGGGTAATGGAAATTTGAAATTGTAATGCATAGTAATGCATTACATTTTTCCAAGTAATTGCATGTAATGTGTAATTCAGCAATTTTAGCATTACATGTAATTGTAATTTAATGCATTACTTTAGCAAAAAGTTGTGTAATTTCATGCATTACATTGCATTACATGGCATTACTTTTTTTCTGACACTATATATATATCTTTTAACAGTTTGTTTGATATTTAACAAAAGCAGAATATAAGATTTCTTGAATAACTAAAAACTTATCATTTGAATATTGATTTTCTATTTAATTTTCACAATTTACCAACTTGTACTTTATCATAAAGAATGGGATTATCATTCTCTTACTTAGTTTATTTCATTTTATTTCATATATTTTCCTGCATAAAAATATTGATATTTGAAAAGCATTACTGTAAAAGTGTTCCATTGTTGTCAAAAGATCAGAGAGTACCTTGTCATAATTAAATAACAGATAATTGAACATTGTCATAAAACACTAATTAGTTTGTTTTACAATCAACAACATTTGGTCATAAATTAAGTTCTGTGTTTATTCTATAATTAGGAAAGAATTTCTCAGTAAATATTTTGATTGAAATTAAAAAAAAAAACAAAAACAAATGTATATTTATAAAAGAAAAGTTAACATTAAGTTAAAATGAAGATTAAACTTCATCTCTGTCACTTCTTTTTAGAGAAACACAGAGATGTATTATGTATTGAAACTTTAAAATCAAAGATAGAAGAGCAACCAACTTTGATAAGTTTTGTGAAACAGTCAGGTAGTCCGAAATATCACTGGGATTATCCTAAGCAAAAGGAGGCTACAGATGCATTAATTCAGTATATTGCTGGTGATTTACTTCTATTTGCTACAATTGATAGCCAAAACTTCAAGAACGTTGTTAAAAACTTGACCCAAAATTTAACATTCCAAGCAGAAAACATCTCTTGTCTAAACTTATTCATACTAAAGCCAAGGATATGCTAGAATCTTTGTGATTTCATGTTGTTTTTCAAAATGCATGATTTTTCTTTTCACTTGATAATAAAATTTACAAAATTTAATGTAATGTGTAATTCAATGCATTACTTTGCAAAAGTAATTGTAATTTAATGCATTACTTTGATAAATGCATGTAATTGTAATTGTAATTTAATGCATGGTTTTGTCAAAGTAATTGTAATGTAACGCATTACATTGCAATGTAATTCGCCCCATGCCTGTAAGCAGCTCACGTGTTTACCAAAACGACATTGAATCGTGGTTGACCAACAACTTTCAAGATTGATTGCGGTGACATGTACATTGAAGCCAAGAAAAAGTCGACACAAATTTTCATTGTACAATGAGTGTTGTAAAATTTCCAACTTTCGACCAAATATCAAATCATTTTCTTCTATAGCAGTCAAGAAAAAATATCGACAAACAGGAAGAAACTGCACGGCGAATAAAAAAAAATGCCGCAAGTTACTCGCTAAACCTCAACATTATCAAGCTGCAGACCAAACATTTAATTATTCCCTTTCATAGAAGCTATGAAAACTTTGATGAAAGTTTACTACCCAAGGTCTTTCTTTTCTAGACCTACTTTCTCCTTTAACGACGCAGGTAAAAACTAAAGACTGAGCAACATGTACCCAACCAAAAACCGTACAGCAACTGAATTAGCTCATTACATGGAGTAAGCAATTGTTGGAAGCTTAACTATATAGTAAGAAAGCAACCAAATTTTCACGCAAGCAGTAGATGAAAAAATATTGTTCTCTTATAATTAAAACTGCGGAACAAGACAAACAATTTTTCAATAAAATTGATATTCAGGATTCCTTATAACAACAACAATAACAACATAATGTAAAAACAATAATAGAATAAAGATTAGATGTTTTAAGTTGTTACGAAATTTTACCTTTTTCTGGTTCTGAAGCTGTCGTTCCTATTGGTCCTAACATATTGCCAAATACGTTTCCCATACCCTTACTTAGTTGTTTGAAACCAGAACCCAAATCCCCTAAAGTATTTTGATCTTCATCTTCATCTTCATCAGAAAGGTCACCGAATAAACTGTCTTCTTCATCCTCTTCTTCTTTTATGTCGTCGCTTTCCTTGTCGGTACTAAGCACTTGATTGTCTTGGAATAATCTGAAGGCTCCTGCTGTTAATTTTGTCGACCCAGCAAATGTTGGCTGTTATAAAGCATTATATGTATGATTATTTCGTAAGAGTGAAACCGGTTGGAGAAACATTGTGAAAGTGACTATTTGTGATGTATTGATTTATATGAATACAATTTTAGTGCATTTTCATCGTCTGGGTTTTTTTTACATATATAATTGTATGGAATATTACAACAAACTTGAATAAAAAAATATATCGTAACACAATTGACTCAATTGTTTATTTTATATGAATTCATTCACATGTGTTTGGACATAAGTTCTTCAGTCACTGCATAGTAAATATTACATGTCATTTGGTTTCAGAGTATAGAACATTGTACATTTTAGAGCTTATAATTGGTATAATTTTGTCTAATCAGATTTCTTCATTTTGCTGAGATTTTTCTGTACCTTAAAAAGCTAAATATATCACAGAAAGTTCATCAACTGATTAAAGACGACAGAGAATGAAACCTTACTTTAAGAATTAGTGAAAGATAACTGAAAATCAAATATTACTCCATCCTCTGATACACAAACATTACTTCATTGAATAGTGAATGATCACGGATAATGAGTCAGTGTTTTGTATTCTGGTGAAAGATCAATAGGAATGAAGCATTACTTCATAGTCTAGTAAAAAATCACTTATAAAGAATTTTTACTTCAGGGTCTGGTGAAAGATGACTAAGAATGAGACATTACTTCATCGGCTAGTCACTGCGATTGAAACGTTACGTCGTCTTCTGGTGAAAGAAGACAGAACATAAAACATGTGGGTTCGTGGTCTAGTGATTAAGACCGATGGCTACAGTGCTGAAGATCACGAGTTCGATTCTGACTCGGGTCGCTGGAAATTCAGTACATCAGAAGGATGCTTTTCATCCTCTCACACACATCTCTGGTATCTAGACAGGAGTTTAAACTAGAATGGGTACTTTGGGGGCCTCGGTTTGTCAAAGTTGCCCCCGACTTTGACCTGGAGATCAATCTGCTGATATCTCTTCGGTTTGTCTGTTCCACCCGAGCAGCCCGGTGGTTCTCTCCGAGTACTTCAGCTTCCTCCACCGTAATAACAGACTCTGCCCGGTGTCCTAGCACTCCATTTGTGTTAAGGTGGGGAATGTCCTTGTAAATATTGTAAAAACATTAGGGACACATCTCCATTAATCCCGATAGGGAGTGTACACGGATTCCACTGTACCCTCGCAGCTCTCGAGGGGTGTTCCGAAATCGGAGGGATCTACGTACATACATACATTACTTCATCTTCTGGTGAAAGATGACTGAGAATGAAACATTACTTCATCGGCTAGTCACTGCGATTGAAACGTTACTTCAACTTCTGGTGAAAGATGACAGAGCATAAAATATTACTTCATCGGCTAGTCACTGCGAGTGGAACATTAATCATCTGCTGGTGAAAGATCCATGAACATGGAAGATTACTTCATCTTCTGGTGATTATAACTTAGATTGAAACATTATTTCATCGGCAAGCTAAACATCACTGAAATTTTAATTATTACTTCAATGAAAATTTCATCACCATCTTTTATTCTCCATAATAAGTCGACATACATTCAATCAGACCACATCACCTATTTTTTTGCAGGAATCTGATTATTTCTAAACATAGGAATCAGTTTTTAAAATATAATTTGTCGTCTTTTATCTTTAATCAGAATTGTAGCCTACATAAACATTTAGCTATACGAACTAAAGTGTATAGTGCTTTTAGAATTAAAACCTGCAAGCATGTAGTAAAACAATTAAACTTTCATTCACTTTATTTTCATTTATTAACACCATGCTATACTGATCAGTTTTAGACGTAACAAATTTAACTTACTTTTTCTTTGTTTTCTAGTGCCAGTTTTCGCCACTTCTTCAGCCTTTTTAAATGATACTTTGACAGTCTTAAATGATCTGAAACCAAATATAATCGTAAACTGTTGATAAAAGGAAGCATCAATTCATTTACCAAATGTGTTCAAATCGAGTTAATGGGAAACACGACTGAAATCGACACAACACAACTTTTATGCTCACCATCACAAATTGGTTCACCGAAACGATCTGCATGTCTTTGACCAAACTCAAAGAAATGTTTCGACGTCTTAGATCTCAATCTTCTTTTTCTAATTTGTTATATTACCGAGAGCGACTTATTATCGGATTTGTACTTTCTTAAGGTGCCACATATAAAGAAGGATTTGCTTATCCTTCCAGAGCACATGAATTCACCCCTGGTATTTGGTGAAGCTCGTGTTGCTCAGCCTATGGTTTTCTATGTAATGTTTTGTTATTGTTGTTTGTCCTTTCACCGTATTTTTTTGCCATGGTCTTATCTGTTTTTATTGAACTTATGATTTTCGAATGCCCCTTGATATCTTCTCTGTCTCTTTTTTTAAAAACCAAAATAGTCGTCTTATCTGTAATTTTACCGACTGTGTCCTATTCCAGATTGTTACACTTTATCAAAGCTATTCGATCATGCATACAGAAACGCATTCAGAAACTACGATGTACTATGAGCATAAGGGTTTCTAACCCATTCAAGAACCCGGAGGTTGTGGATGCTTTATCCTCTTTGCATAACAAATATGTTGTTGTTCCAGCAGATAAAGCCTCCAATAATATTGTCTTCATATGTAAAAACCATTACTTGGAATGTCTCACAAAAGAGCTTGGAATAAACAGCAAAACTGGTAATCCTACATATTCTTTAACTTCATTTACAAAGGATGAAATTTTACAAAGTCACAAATCTGTCCTTTCTTTTGGTATCAACATCAAAGAAAACGAAGAAAATCTACCGTCATTATACTGGATACCAAAACTTAACAAAACTCCTTATAAAGAACGATACATAGCTGGATCATCAAGATGTTCAACTAAACATCTTTCTAAAGTGCTGACTACTATTCTTTCTACAGTAAAAGATGGCCTTCAAAAATATTGTGATGAAATATATTCAACCAGTGGTGTCAATCAGATGTGGATTCTTAAAAATTCTAAAGATCTACTACTAAATCTTAGATCACAATCTCTGCAATTTTGCAGCAAGATTAAAACTTTTGATTTTTCTACGCTTTACACTACTATTCCTCACGCTCAATTGAAAGATCGACTTCATCATCTCATCAAACAGAGCTTTTTCTATAAAAAATGGAAATCGTAGATATACATTTCTTGTTTTGGGTTATAATAATTCTTATATTGTGAAGAACCACACTGATTCTATCAGAAAATATACTGAATATGATATTATCAAAATGCTGGACTTTTTGATCGACAATATATATTTGTTGAGTTTGGAGGATTGATATTTCGACAGACAGTCGGTATTTCAATAGGTACTAATTGTGCACCCCTACTGGCCGATTTGTTTTTGTACTCGTATGAAGCAGAATTCATTCAAAACTTTCAAAAAGACAAAAAGAAAAGCACCTTGCGAAATTCTTTAATTTTACTTTCAGATATATTGATGATATCCTATCACTGAATAACCCATATTTCAGTCAGTACTTACATCTCATATATCACAGTGAACTTAAATTAAGGATACTACTGATACTAGAAGGACTGCTTCATACCTTGATCTTTTACTCAATATTAACACAGATCGACGACTTCACACTAAAATCTATGACAAACGGAACGATTTCAACTTCCCAACTATCAATTTCCAATTTCCAATAACATACCCTCTGCCCCATCGTATGGTATTTACATGTCTCCGTTGATACGTTATGCTCGTGCATGTTCACACTATAAGGACTTCATATACAGGAGTGTGCTCCTTACGCAGAAACTGCTCAAACAGAGTTATAAGGAGGAAAGATTAAACATGACACTCCGTAAATTTTTAGGACACCATCACGAATTGATTGATCTATACGATGTGTCCGTTTCTAAACTAACTAACGACAATTTAACCACGTCTTAGATTGTGGTTTACCATCTACGTCGTCTGGTCTGCTAAGTACCGAACGTGACCTATTCCCGAATATGACTGTTTTCCCGAGTGTGAATTCGCATTGCTATAAGACGTGTCTCGGTATTTATACATCCAACATTCATGTATTTAGTTATGATGTTTCGTTTGCAATTCTGTTGGATATTGTGTTATGTCTTATCGTTTGTGGTATGAATTCTATTTTTATTTTCTACATGTATGTAAAAGTTAAGATAATTAATCAGCTAGATCATTTATATGAGTTTTAGTTTAAAGCTACTCTATGCACAGGATTTATTTGTTTTTACAGTTTTGATTTAGAAGAAAAACCGACATGGTTAGAAAATAAATACAATTACACCATTACTAACACAATTCTATATTAATATTCTTGTAATGGTTAGAAAATACATAAAATAACACCATTACAAACTTAATCCCAATCTTATATTCTATTTTTAGAAATTTACCTGTGACGTCACTTTTTGTGATACATTCGTGTGACGCAGAGTTCATAATTCTATTGTGGTGTGAATGGGAGGTGTCCGTTGTAATTCTGTAGTTTATATGTTGTAATGTACTATTATATTATTCTTTATGTATGTCTCTGTCCTGAGTGTTCTTGCGTTTAGTTGTAATGTATTCCTGTCACGTAATGTTGTCATTTTAGCGGTATTTTTAACACTACCATATAAGCAGGGGGTTTGGCTAGCCATAAAACCAGGTTCAACCCACCATTTTTTCTTAAAATGTCCTGTACCAAGTCAGGAATATGGCAGTTGTTATCAAATAGCCCGTATTTATGTATGTTGGCGTTTGCTTTTGTAGCAGTTCAGTGTTTATGTTGTTCCGTTGTTTTCCTCTTATAGTTGATGTGTTTCCCTAGGTTTTTGTTTGTGACCCGGATTTGTTTCAGTTAAATCGATTTATGACTATAAACAGCGGTATACTACTGTTGCTTTTATTTGACTGGGTGTTTCAGATTTATTTTGCATTGCTTTATTAAGTTTTACATTAGTCGTCTGAAATACAGAGAATACTGGAAAAGATGTTTTTAAGTGATTTTTGTGCACTTCTTTTGCAACTTATTGTTTCCCTCTTTGATTTGAAAAAAAAGAGAAGCGGTTTTGTACTGGCAACACTAGTTTAACTGCAAAACACATGATTGTGTGTGTCCTAAGAATTTGGATTTTCTAATGTTTTGGCCTCGACCATAACTGAAAAAATATTAATTGTCAAAAAGCGCATCTGGTGTAGCCACAATGGTCACTTTTTAATATCTTATTATTACTACAGTCTGAAAATCAGAGTATATTTTGCAGTATGTCAAAATTATGGCTAGTATTTCTTCACACTTTCACACCTCATTTAAAAGCGTGTACATTGCTTCAAGAATCACAAGTATATCTTAAGTACGCAGCAACTATTTCAACAAACAAGAGTGCACACGATGAAATGTCTCGCCTTCTTTACTAACCGTTGATTTTATGTTGATAGTCCTAAATATAAAGCTTTACTACAAGTAACACATGAACTTAACATGATCCAAGAAAATGAGGTCAAGGTCAGATAAACCAAACGAGAATTCCATGTACACCTTACAATCATTCAATAAACCAAACATAGTTGACCTATTGCTTATAGTTTCTAAGAAACAGTCTTAACTGAGAAAATTTAACATTGACCAATGAACCATGAAAATGAGGTCAAGGTCAGATGAACCATGCCAGACAGACATGTACACCTTACAATCAATTTATGCATTAAATATAGTTGACATATTGCTTATACAATGTAGTACATAAGAAACAAACTTAACCATGAAAACTGAACACTGACCAATGAACCATCAAAACGAGGTCAAGGTCAGATGATACCTGCCAGACAGACATATACACCTTGCAATCCTTCCATACAACAAATATAGTTGATCTATTGCTTATAGTTGAAAAACAGACCAAAACACAAAAACTTAACACTGAGAAATGAAGCGTGAAAATGAGGTCAAGGTCAAATAAAACCTGTGAGACTGACATGTACATCATAAAATATTTCCATACACCAAATATAGTTGACCTATTGCATATAGTATTAGAAAAAAAAGACCAAAACTCAAAAACTTAACTTTGACCACTGAACCATGAAAATGAGGTCAAGGTCAGATGACACCTACCAGTTGGACATGTACACCTTACAATCAATCCATATACCAAATATAGTAGACCTACTGCTTATAGTATCTGATATATAGACTTGACCACGAAAACTTAACCTTGTTCACGGATCCATGAAATGAGGTCGAGGTCAAATGAAAATTGTCTGACGGCCATGAGGACCTTGCAAGGAACGCACATACCAAATATAGTTATCCTATTACTCATTATAAGAAAGAAATTAACATTACAAAAAATGTTGACTTTTTTTTCAAGTAGTCACTGAACCATGAAAATGAGGTCAAGGACAATGGACATATGACAGACGGAAACTTCGTAACATAAGGCATATATATACAAAGTATGCAGAATCCAAGTCTTCTAGCTTCTAAAATATAAAGCTTTTAAGAAGTTAGCTAACGCCGCCGCCGCCGCCGAATCACTATCCCTATGTCGAGCTTTCTGCGACAAAAGTTGCAGGCTCGACAATAAAAATGGTTAATTTCTCATATATATATCATATATATAAACACACACACAATTTAGCTGTACACTGGAAATCATTGCTTCTCTGTTTCCTATATTATTTTTCCAATTTGTATGAGATTGGCATATGCACCATCTACACCTATACATCCATTTTAAAATATACAAACCTGGTAAGTCTTTTGGTGTCTTGAAACTTGGAAAGGCCGACAACACTTCGAGCATTTTAGATGCTTGGTTTGGATTAAGAGTTATTCGTAGCTCTACAAAAATAATTAAAAAGATTCTTCAAAACATACCTGTTATAATGATTTTAGAATCGTATGAATACATTGAGGTCACATTCATGTGGTTCCAATTTAAAACTTATATTGTAAAACATCAACAACAAAAAATTCTATTTGAAACTACTGTTTTTGCGCGTGTATAAATGATTCCAAAATATGTTTGTCTCATTACATTAAAGGTGATGTCATTGATTAACAAAACCCAAAAATCTATTAAAAATTCTTTGCATGTACTTTTTTTTATGGGAACGTAGATGAATTTGGCTATTATTTGTAGGACCTTTTTGGTCATATAGGTCTTCAACTGCTTCTGTTCTTATACATCCTTTGATTTCAAATATTCGGCATTGAGCGTTACTTATGAAGGTAAATCCAGAAAAGCACTTCGGACTTATGAAATTTATAACTGTTTTTTTTCCCCATAATTTTCATCACTACAATGTTTGGAAAACGTTATATACAAGTTTCGTTTTTTGTTTTTGTTTTTATGTCTATGTTTTTTTTATGTTAAGTGCACTTTTATTAACAAAAGTTATCATGTACGCACTTGACGTCCTCTTTAGACTTTCACAATAATTCTTGGTTTTAAAAAAAAATCCCATGGGATATTGTTAACAGAGTCGTCTAGCAGCTTGATTTACTGTCGAAATATTAGTTTTTAGTAAAGAAGGGATTTATGAAAATACTGATATCAGTTTTTCCTTGGTCAACGTTTTTGTCGTTGGTGATGTCTGTATTAGAGCTACTTAAAGTTAAAATTTGATGTACATTTGATTAAAGAAATAGAATAACTTTTTAAGTTTCAATTAGACGTGGCATATTCCGTTTCAATTCGATAAGTGATCATACGTGTTATTTGGAACTTCTGTTTCCTATTGTTCTGTATGGCCTATTGTGTCCTAGACTTATGTTCACTCTACAGTTAAGTTTGTAATTTACTAAATGCTTAGTTTTTAAAATATTCGATTTAAATATTGTCCTTTTCTCCATCAATTTTCTTCATATCTAATCTAGCTATTTAAAATACATCTTTGATAGAAGAACCAAGAAAACATTAACGAAAGGATTTTGTTTCAAAATGCCATTCAATTATTAACAGGATAAACATTGTGGTCTCACAAGCCTGCTTCACTGAACTGACAATCTCTTAATAGATCCAAGACTTGTTATGAACGAAGAATCGTTTGTATCAATTAAGTCATTTCATATTGATTTAAAGATTTGTCATGTATTTCCCACAACGCTCCAGGTCTCTGTCTTCTGAAATTTGCTTTCTATGCTGTAAAAGAGGATTCGTCAATTAAGTGATTTTAATTAATGTCTTTGGTATGAACACCCTAGAATACATGATTCATGCAATAATACGTAGCATCGTCAGTAGCTGCACCAGTGAGAATGAAAAGATGATTTTCATTAACCTAAATAGTATCGTATATGTGCGTCCCTACTACTCCTCTTCTTGTCCCTGTCACCATCCCATTGTGACTCCATTGTTGATCATCATGGCCAAATAAAGAATAGTTGCTGACATTTTTCAAATATTCAATGAATGATTTCGATTTCACTGTTAATATTAGTTAATCTAAGTTGTTGACCTTAAATGAATTTGGCTATGTTTAAGGTCACCCATAATCATATAGATCTTCACGTGTTAAGGTTTCATAAATCTTTGGCTTTCAAATGTTTTGGCTTGAACGTTTCTGATGAAGGGAAAATCCAGAAAAGCGCATCAGACACATGAAATTCATAAAAATGTTATTTTTATTTACTAGCACTGGGTCGATACCATTGCTAGCAGACTGTTAGTCCCCGAGGATATCAGCAACTGAGTAGTTAGTGCTTCGGTACTGGCATAGTTTTTAACAAACTTAAAACTCCGTTGATAAATTTCCAGAAATTATAAAGAAACTAAGGCAAAGTTGAACTTCTAATGAAGGTAAATCCGGAAGAGCTTTTCTCACGTACGAAATTAATAAAGTGTTATTGTCAATTACTAGCACTGGGTCGATACCACTGCTAGTGGACTATAATTAAGTCCCCGAGGGTATCATCAACTCAGTAGTCAGTGATTCGGTATTGACATGATTTTGTACAAACTTTTCTATACTAAGTAATGCTCCGTTGATAAATTCAGATAATATTAAAAGACTAAGGTTCCTACTCCATCAGGCAAAATTGATGAGATGAATTTGGCTATTTTTGGTTTGGTCATGTACATAGTTGGCTTTAAAATAATTTGTTTTACGCGTTCCTGCTGAAGATAAATCCAGATATTTAGCGCTTTTGACGTACGAGTGAAATAAAGTGTTTTTCGTTCTCATTTACTAAATTATCCTAGCTGTATTTGGCAAAACCTTTCGGGATTTTGCGTCCTCATCGCTCTTCAACTTTTCTTTTTTTTATTCGCGCGTCACTGATGCGTCCTTTTTAGACAAAACGCGCGTCTGGCGAAAACAATTTTAATCATGGTATATATTGTACCCGAGGGTATCGTCAACTTAGTAATCAGTTCTTTTGTACTGACATGACTTAACAAACCTTTCTTAAATTCTCCGCTAATTTCAGAAGTTTCAACTCCCTCATTAAATGCATTTGGCTATTTGTTTAGGTCCTTTTGATCATATAGCTCTTCACGTGTCTTATAACCTGGTATCTGATCATCAATGAGTTGTAACAACCACTAAGTTGATGCAACTTCTGGACGTTTCGCATCCGAGGGTATCATTAGCCCAGTACTCAACACTTTTGTGTTGACATGAAATATCATTGATGTATCCTTTTTTGTAAATTTACTGTTTATAAAATGTTGAATTATTCAAAACACTATGGTTGTTCAACACCAAGGTATACATTTGGCAGTATTTGGCATTTATTAGGAATGTTTGGTTTTAAATGATCTTCAACTTCATCTCTGGTTTTGGCCTTCCAACAGTTCTGTTTTGAGCGCCACTGGTGAATTTTATGAAGACGAAACGCGCGTTTGATGCACTAAATTATAAGCCTTGTATCTTTGATCAGATTTTATACGTCCTTGGCTTTCAAATGTTTTGGTTTGAGCTTTCCTGGTAAAAGTAAATCCAGAAAAGGTGCTTTGAAAGCACGAAATTAATAAAGTGTTATTTTCATTCATAGAAAATGTATGAAAAGCTCTATACAAAGCTCTTACTTTTTGTCAGCTTTGATTCTCTTAAACGTTATTGGATAATAAAATGTCTCCCTCGAGCGTACCTGATGTCTTTTCAAAAATCAACATCTTACTTTCATTTTCGCAGTAGTCGTTAACAGAGGAAGCTTTCTGCCCAAATAACCTGAAAATACTTCTTAAATTTCGGGTTATTTAGAGTTGTTTTGCCTTTTTCTGTCCCAATGGCAAAAATTCTGAAACTGTGGTCGCAAAAACACTAAGTGTAATTAACACACACATTATCAAATTTCTATCCTAACCAGTGTTTGGAAACAATATTTTTTTCAATTTTAATTTTGACACCATCTATTCAGTATCCAATTATATTGCAATCTTTACTTCTTCAGAACATTTTACTGCATACTGGATAACTCGAAACATATTTCGACCTATTTCTGCTCTTTAAATACCAAAATCCACTGTCAGTGTTGATGATGAAATAATTATCAAGTTTCTATCTTTAATTGTATGCCAGGACTTCTATTGAAACCATGTCTTCGGTTTTTCTAACTCTTATAGACCATGCCCCATGGGGCCATACAAAAATGACAAACCCATCTTTCAAATTCCTATTATTCTGAATTTTAAGATTATGGTCTTTTATTCCTTATTATTTATAATTCAGCACCCTATCAAATTTATTATTTTTATAGCTGCATTTTTCTTTATGTATTTTGGACCATTTTTCTGCATTAGGTAAACCCCATTTCAAACCCTCATATAAAATATATGCTATGGCTTAAGCATCACATACTTAATACTTCACAAAATTTTACCAGTAACTCGATAACTCGGAATATATTTTGACCCACAATCTGGCTCTTCACAAATATCAAAGTTCCTAAACCTCGCCACAGACAACTGTTATTGTGTTGATTACATACCAATTTGCGTGATCCTATCTCAAAAAGTGTAGTTGGAAGATCTAGGACAATCGATTTTTAGGTTTTCCCCAGAGGATCATGTCCTAGAGTCACATGAAAATTCTGACACTATTGGTCAACTTTAGAATGTGGCTCCCTATAACGCATTGTTCTGATTCATTGTCCGGGTATTAGTTTTTTTTAACTTAAAATATTTTGGCCTCAGTCATCACTGAAGAGACATTAATGGTCGAAATGTGCATCTGGTGTAATACAATAGGTACAGTAATTGTTATAACTTCACCTTGGTCGATATCTCTGCTGGTGGATTGTTAGTCCCTGATGGTATATCCAACCCCGGTACTGGCATAATACGGATATTGTACTATTTAAGTTTGATTTTATAAAATTTCGAAATCATTTTAAATTAAGGAATGGATCTCCCCCATGCATAGATCAGAATCCTCGTTCGAGTTTGGCTTTACTTTTTGTGTTTTTGGTTTGTTAGCTCTTTAACGTTTGTATTAGGTTTTGACTTCAAGCATCACCGAAGATACATTAATTGACGAAATGCGCATCTGGTGCAATAACATTGCCACAGTTAATGATATTTGCATATATAATGCGACCTTCTATCTAAAGTAGTTTAGATTTCAATGGTTAACTGGTTGTCATGAAAATTGTTTTGAAAATTGTTTTTGACAATAATTCTGCCATTATTGCAAATATCGAAATTTGGAAATAGATATCAAAGGTACCACGATTATAATTTAATACGCCATACGCGCGTTTCGTCTACATAAGACTCACCAGTGACGCTCAGATCAAAATAGTTATAAAGCCAAACAAGTACAAAGTTGAAGAGCATTGAGGACCCAAAATTCCAAAACGTTGTGCCAAATACGGCTAAGGTAATCTATTCCTGGGAT